GTGGTGTCGTAGTACAACACATTTCTCACATGTTTGTGGTGATGCTGATGTAAACAAATCGACTATGCTGCCAGTCATGTAAAAGTATAGCATGTAAATTACAGTGCATCATACTTGATAATAAACAGCTGTGTTACTGCTTTATATATTTACTGCACTGTATTGTTTTTTGTGTTTTTTAAAGATGGAGTCTAGCTCTGTCGCCAGGCTAGAGTGCAGTGGCACAATCTCGGCTCGCTGTAACATCCGTCTCCTGGGTTCAAGCGATCCTCCTGCCTCAGCCTCTTGAGTAGCTGGGACTACAGGTGTGCGCCATCACACCCAGCTAATTTTTGTATTTTTTGTAGAGACGGGGTTTCACCACGTTGGCCAGAATGGTCTCGATTTCTTGACTTTGTGATCTGCCCATCTTGGCCTCCCAAAGTGCTGAGATTACAGGCGTGAGCCACCACCACCAGCCTGTTGTTATTTGAGAGAGTATTTCTCCTTATATAAAAAAAAGTTAAAACAGCCTCAGGCAGGTCCAGGTCCTTCAGGAAGTAGTCCCGAAGAGGGAGACCTTTTAGGAGATGACAGCTCCATGTGTCATTGGAGACAGGATATGTAGGTGCAGGACAGCGACATTGATGATCCTGACCCACGCCGCTGTGCAGGCCTATGCTAATGTAGTGTGTGTGTTTGTGTCCACAGTACCGTGTATAGTAATATCAGTGATGTCCTGTTCAGTGAGTGTTCTGTGCAGTGTACTCACTTGCCCCACTCACTCACTCACCCACCCACCCAGCCACCCACCCAGAGCAGCTTCCAGTCCTGCAAGCTCTATTAATGGTAATAGCGGTGTATCAATTTTAAAATCTTTTGTACCATACTTTTGCTGTAGTTTTTCTATGTCTAGCTGAGTGTAGATACACACATGCTTACTGCAGTATTCTAGTTGCCTGTAGTGTTCAGGACAGTTGTGTAGCCCAGGGGCAATAGGCTATACCGTAGAGCCTGGGTGTGTAGGAGACCACACCATCTCGGTTTGTGTAAGTGCGCTCTGATGGTTGCACAAAGATGAAATTGCCTTCGCATTTCTCAGAGCTCTTTCTTCATTAAGTGACACGGGAAGGTACTGGCTTGAGGAGAGGGAAGGTAGGTAGGAAATGGAGACCAGTGTAGACAACTGTTTCTAGGTCTTTGACTGTGAAGAGGAGACAAGCATTAGAATTAGGCCAGCATCTGAAAGGCATCTTTCCCTGTTATGCCCTCATACTCTGTTTCATATGGAATGCCATTGGGAGGAAACCCCTTTGGGTCCTTTTCTCAGCATAAGAATCACCTGGAGTCCAGGCCCCATGCTCAGAGATTGTGGATTTTAGGCCTAGGGTGGGCATCCAGGTAAACCCAATGCGGTTGTTCCCTAGGCCAACTTAGAAAAGTGCTGTCCTGGGGGCTTTGTGGCATAGGACTTGAGTGCCTGTTCCTTCCCCTTCCACGCACATGTGCAGGGGGCACCCACTACCGGTAGAAGGGAAGACCAGCAGCGTTGAGAGACCAGCAGCGTTGAAAGCGAGGCTCCCTGGCCCTCTGCCTCTCGTTTCCTGTCCAGGTCTCTGTGGCTTGCCTCTCTCAGGCCACTTCTAACTGTGGTCTCCGCTCTACCTCCTGGTCCTGTAGGTCTTCTGGGTTCTTAATCGGCCTCATCCTCTAGCCTTTCCGTTTCCTTGAGAGAAAGCCTGGCCTTCTACAGACATCACTAGCCAATGGCAGTGCCTCTCTATTTCTTGCCAGTGCCCTGCCAGTCGCAGGATCGTTGACATCTGTCTTTAAACTGTTTCCAGCTGCTGGCCTTGTTCTCTCAGCTGTTCTTTAACACTGAAGCCTTGTTTTGCCTGCTTCTGGGTTTGGAGCTCTTCTGGAGGTATGAGGGTTTCAGATGGTTGATTTTTGCCTTGTCAAGGTTTATAGAAGGAAGAGGACAGTGACATTTAAAGTAGTGTGGCTTTGAATATTAGGAATCATTTTTTGTTACCTAATAACTTCATCTTAGTGGTGATTGTCTGAATTGTATGATATGTTGACAGATTTCTCAAAGCAGTCTCTAGCGATCATTAAACAGCCTGAGTTGTATCCTGAAGAAACATGTATCTGTCCATATATGGAACAAATAGTTGTTCCATTCCCTTTGTGTGGAAACTGCCTGCATGCTTCATTCATCACAGTAATGCATTTCCTCAGGAACTTTTAATGTTGCAGGTGTCTGTTGTCATAGCTTTGGAATCATTGATAACATTATTTGACTTGCTTAGAATTATAGTCTCATGGATTTATTACACATTAAACCTTTTAGGCAGGCCTTGGAAGATGAATTTGGTAGGCATTTCACACTTTTGTGACACTGAGATTTTGCTGGTCTCTTGGATACAGTCACAAGTAATACGTAAGCAAAACTGCACGCTCAGGCGTAACAACCTGCTGGGCTGAGCGCAATTGCAGAAGTGGATGACTTTTCACGTTACTCTTAACTCTTTTCTCTCGGGTGCTCAGAGCACAACTTAAAGCATTCTGTCTGAGCTAGGGGAATAACATTCTGGAATGTAAGCCCTTGAAGATGGAGGTCTATAAAAGAAATATTCAGTGTTAACTTGGAATTCAGTGAACTTTTTTCATATTAAAGGACATTTATCAAGAAAAAGAACTGCACAGTTAAACTGTGCTACAGTTGTTTTCATTTAAGAAAGTAGAAAGAAGACTCTTAACAGTTTAAAAAACAAATGACCCTCATTGTTTTTATATTGTGCATGTAACTCTTCAGATTATATGGAACTATTAGTATTTTTTTTTATATTCCTCGCATCTTTTTTTCTTCTGCCTTGAGAAAGTCAGGTTCTTCTCATCTTATTGTGTACTTTACATCCAAAATTATTTTGTAACTCTTTTTTTTTTTTTTTTTTTTTTGAGACAGAGTCTTGCTCTTTCGCCAGGCTAGAGTACAGTGGCACGATCTCAGCTCACTGCAACCTCCGCCTCCGGGGTCCAAGCGATTCTCCTGCCTCAGCCTCCTGAGAAGCTGGGATTACAGGAGTGTGCCACCACGCCCAGCTAATTTTTGCATTTTTAATAGAGACGGAGTTTCACTATGTTGGCTAGGATGGACCTCGTGATCCACCCGCCTTGGCCTCCCAAAGTGCTGGGATTACAGACGTGAGCCACTGCGCCTGGCCCTCTATAACTCTAAATGTTGCTGCATTTTATTATTGTAATGACTAATAGTCCATAAACTTGATGCAGTTAGATTTTCCTGTTATTGGATATAGCATATTTACATTTTTGCTCTTGTGAATATACTGGAGTACTATACTGAATGTGTGTGTATGTGTGTATCACCTTTTATGTATTTAATTATTTCCTTAGGGTAAATTCCGAGTAACTGGATTATTAGAGGGTAGAAATTTTCTTTATGGTTTTTGGTATAAATTGTCAAATTATTTCCCAAAAAGTTGTATCAGTTCACAGAGCTACCAGTTGGTTTCTCGCAGCCATCTGCTATAGGTTTGTTGGGTTAAAAAACTTTCCGTTTTTGCTAGTTCATCTTATGTTGCTTTAATTTACATTTTTCAATAATGATTAAACCTAAACTTTTTTTGTATAAATTTGCTTTTTTGAGTATTTCTTCTTGTGAAGAGACCGATATTTATTATAATTATTAGATTGGCTGCTAGTCCAAGAGCATTAAGTAGTTAAGGGATCAAGTGAGCAACCAGTGGCCATAGCCATCTTTGACCAATCAAAGATATAGATTCATATCGTCGTGAAAGCTTTGATTCCGAGAAAATAGTTTTATATGTGTATATATATATATATACACACACACACACACACACACACACCCCTAATGGTAGGAGATTGGGGTAGTTGTATTTAATATATAGAATATTACCTAATTTTTTTGTTAGAGGTTCTAGAAGACGAGACTTTTTCAGTTTGTCTTATGCCGTCCTTGTTTTAATGGGGGAGAGGTGGGGGTTTTGGACACTCTAGGAAGTTGAAACTGAATATTTTACTAATTGCATGCATAGAAGTTGATTTTCTCTTCTTTTCTGTCTTTCTTTTTCTTTCTCTTTCTCTTTTTCTTTTTTTTTTTTTTTGAGATGAAGTCCTGCTCTCACCCAGGCTGGAGTGCAGTGGCACGATTTTGGCTCACTGAAACCTTTGCCTCCCAGGTTCAAGTGATTCTCCTGCCTCAGCCTCCCGAGTAGCTGGGACTGCAGGCACCCACCACCAGGCCTGGCTAGTTTTTAGTAGAGCGGGGGTTTCTCCATGTTGGCCGGGTTGGTCTCAAACTCCTGACCTCAGGTGATCTGCCTGCTTCAGCCTCCCTAAGTGCTGGGATTCCAGGTGTGAGCCACCGCTCCTGGCAGAAGTTGATTTTCTTAAAAAAGAGAGATAATAGGAAAACAAACTCAAAAATCTATTTGGAACCTTATACAGGATGTTGGCCTTAGCTTGAGGAGAAATAAAAACTGAAGCGCATTATTAGCAGGGGGATGACTTGATCAGGTTTTTGAAAATGAATGTTCAGCATTGAGGTAACTGAGACATCTGGATATGCCGGTCTGGGCCCCTGGGAGTTGCAGGAGATAATGGAGATAGAGATTCCGTGAACTGAGTACTGTTGGTAGCTTTTATGGTGTTGAGGAATACCTAACACTGATTTTTTTTCTTTTTTGAGCCCTGTTAATTAAATGTTAAAATATATTTAGTTTGCTTTAGAGAAAGGCACGAATGGATTCTGGGGCTCTGGTATGGAAGCTATTTTCGCAGTGTAGGTGCAAGGTGAGGGAACCAGCTAGGGAGGGAGATGGGTGAGGGTCTGTGGAGAGGGGCTGGAGTGAAATGGTTTGAGAGACAACATGTTTATAAAAGCAATAGAAGGTACAGTGGGGGAATACTTTCTATTTAATGCATTTTTCATTTTACTTCTTTCTAATTAATACAAGGCACATTTTACATTTCAGATGAATTTACAACTGATTTTCTGGATTGGACTGATCAGTTCAATTTGCTGTGTGTTTGGTCAAACAGGTAAAAACAAAAAGTTTTCTTAGTTGTCCTTTCATTTCTGTATCTTGTATTGTTTTTTGACCAGTTAGGTTCATGTGAGAACCTAAGTCATAATCATGCTGCTCCTTCTGGAAGCCCTGCAGTTATCCCTCTCACTCAGAGAAAGGTCAAGATCCTTCATGGTCAGGCTCCCCTCACCCCTGTCACCCGGGATGATGGGAAACAGGTTGGCTGGTGAAGTACTAAAATGCTAGGGGTTGAACACTGCAGGAAAATCTTCTGAGAACACGAGAGTGTGTAAGTGAACAGAAGGCAAAGGCAAGTAGTATATTTAGAAGCAAATGAAGTAGATGTATAGAATGGAGGATTATGAACTATCCATTATTATCTACAAAGACTTTCTAGAAGACATTCTCACTCTTTGATAAAAAAGTCTTGCAAAATGTTGGCATCATCTAGGAGAACAGTGAAAATAAAGCTGAAAATGTATTTAACACTTCTATAAAGATGTGGCTCCACATCTGGAATAATGGATATCCAGTTCTCTCGTCTAAATCTTGAAAAACTACACTGCATAGAGCAGTTTGAGATCAGGATTGGAAGGTAGTAAAAATGAAGCAGGAGACCGTAAAAGTATCGATACATTTAAATTACATAAAATCAACAATAGCAAACAAATTCTGTCAGAACACTGTAAACAAGATGAGAAACTAAACAAAGGTTCAACTTCATTAATGTGTGTAGAAATCCAGTAAAAACTGAGGAACATAAAAAAATTTGCAAAAGACATATAAAAGACATGGTTAGTAAAAATATGAAACAATGTAAAACCTGAAATTGGTAGGCTTGACCACTGAATTGATATTCTATTTTACACTTATTAAATGAGCAACAGTTTTTGAATATTAAAGCACTTTGTTTTCTTGGGAATGTGATAAAATGGTATTTGTACACTGCCATTTTGTGGGAGCTTATATTAGTAGTGTTGCCCTATGGTATCCATGGGGAATTGGTTCCAGGACCTCCTTCAGTTACCAAAATTCACAAATGCTCATTGACCCTGATATAAAATGGCATATTTGCATATACCCTACACATATCCTCCTGTATACTTTAAATCTTCTCTAGATTACCTATAATACCTAATACAATGTAAATACTATGTAAATAGCTTTTGTACTGTATTGTTTAGGGAATAATGACATGAAGAAAAGTCTGTACATGTTCAGTACAGACACTTTTTTCCCCCAAACATTTTTGATCTGTGGTTGCTTGAATCCACTGATTTGGAAACCACAGATACAGAGGGTCAACTGCATATTACTTTTGGGTAGAAATTAGTGTGTATAGAGAATTTTAGAAGTGTTAATATACTCTTCAACTTAGTAGTTAGTTATTCTTTTGGGATGTTTGAAAAGGAAATAGATGGGTACTAAGGTTTATATATAAGACTGGTCATCAGCATGTGTATATGCGTGTAGTACAGTATGTGTATATGTGTACTTGGGGTATTTATGTGTGCATGTGAGCAAGCATGTGTGAACTGTGCACACTTACATTTGGAAACAATCTAAATTTATCCAGCATTAAATAGAGTACACTCATATTGAAATATTACATAATCATTAAAAGCTTTTTAATTCTTTTTAAAAAGAATTTGTAATAAGAATAAAGCACTTAGGATAAGGTATAAAAAACAGTATACAAAACTGTACAACTGTATATATAAAGTGTATCCTCAGTTTCATGTAAATAATACATCTATTAATATATATATATATGCTTGCTTCCCCTTGCTATTTATCTGCATAGGAAAAAGACTGGAAAGAAATAGGCAAAAATGTTAGCAACAGTCCTCTCTTAGTTAACAGATTCAGTGAGTTTTAGTTTTTTCTTTATGCTTTTATGTGTTTTCCAGATTTTCTGTAAGAAGCATGTGCTGGGTTTATAATCAGAAAAGATACATTGGAGACAGTCTGTATTAGTGCTTACCATGTAGAAGGCATACTCTTCCTTAGGTGGATGCAAAGAAACCTAAAACATACTTTGAACATAGGGCCTGAGAAATTCTGGGATTATGGATTAGACGAATATGGACTTTTCAGTTATTTAACATACTGAAAGCAAAGGGAAAGCCCTGAAGATTCTTGTGGGTATGGTAGTATGAGTTAAATAAAGAAATAATGCTTTACCCAGTTGTAAGAAAACTCATGAGATTTATGACAATCAAGAATGATAAATTCTGAATTATGCCTTTGAAAAAAAGAATGTTGTCTTTGATATAGAAGACAAGGAAGATAACTTATGTCTCTCTGTGGCTTTCAGTGTCAAGGTGATCAAAAATCATGGTCTTAAATTTCGCATTGTTCTCACTGGTTTGTGGGAGCTAAAAATTAAAACAATTGAACTCATGAAGATAGTAGAAGGATGGTTACCAGAGGCTGGGAAGGGTAGTGAGAGGATGGGGAAGTCTAGAGTGTTACTGGTTACAAAAAAATAGAAAGAATGAGTGACCTAGTATTTGGTAGCACAACAGGGTGACTGTAGTCAATAATAATATAGTTGTATATTTTAAAGTAACTAAAAGAGTATAATTGGATTCTTTGTAACACAAATGATAAAGCCTTGAGAGGATGAACACCCCGTTTACCACTATATGACTGTTATGCATTGTATGCCTGTATCAAAATATCTCATGTACTCCATACATGTGTACACCTACTATTTACCCACAAAAGTTAAAAATTAAATTTAAAAAATCGTGCTGTCTTTGGGGAAGGTCTAGTTTAGATGGTAACTACGTGATAGTATTTATATTTAACATATATATTGCATTGTCATTGTGATTTTGATTTTTCATTATTTTCTCTCTGACACTTTACATAAAATGTTCTTTCTTCTTTCTGACAGATGAAAATAGATGTTTAAAAGCAAATGCCAAATCATGTGGAGAATGTATACAAGCAGGGCCAAATTGTGGGTGGTGCACAAATTCAGTAAGTAAGGTTGCTCAAGTCCTTTCCATTTCTTCTCTGGTCATTTAGTGTGACTCAGTGCTATATCCTTGGGAAGCACATATTAATTTTTGTGTAAATCAATACTTATTGAATAACCTAATGGTCTGGAGCTATGTGGTTCAACACAGCAGCCACTAGGCATATGTGGCTATCGAGCACTTTCATACACATTAGAATTGCTCTGAGTTTCAAAGATATACACGATTTCAAAGACTTAGTATTAAATAAATAATAATGGTGAAATGATAATTTTTGTATATTTAAAAATAATGTTATACCTGTTAAAATTAATGTTCTCTTTTTCTTTTTTTAGTGTGGCTACTAAACAGTTTTAAAATACATATATTCGTAGCTCATCTTTGTGGCAAGTATTGTATTTTTACTGGAGAACCTTCAAAAAAATCCTAGTCATTTAGTTTGACTGTTTTAGATTTCCCCCTTTTTGATGGGGAGGTATGAATTAACCTTCCTAATTATATTTGAGTTAAAACTACTAGAATTGATTTGCATCCCAATATAAGCTCATTGAGGTCAATTAGGGTTTGGATTTTATTCACTTTTGTCATCTCTGTGCTTTTGCTAATACGGTACCTTCCACAAAGCCTACTAAACATTCAATGAGTCAATGAATGAATGAATGAATAAATCAAAAGAGATGGTAAGGAGAAGTCATTTTGAGGTTGTATAATTTATTCACAGACTGAATAACTAATATCAGAAGGTCAAGGGGTTATTGATTGTGTTTTCATGCAGGCATTTGGGTCCAAATTTCAAGTACCTGTATTTGTACGCCTAAGTGGTCAAGTGTCAGATATGTCGTATGATTTGACCACATGAAAGAAAAGATTAGAAGTTTTGGTTTTTTTTTTTCAAAAATTTTCTAATGGTACTTCCAAAAAGTGGTGTGTTGGGATTACATTGGCAACAGTGGAGGAAATAAGGAGTGTTGTGAGTTTGTCTCAGGCAAGGCTTATGTAACTGAAGCTCTCGGTTTTCATATCTGAAAATGAGGCTGATAATACCGCTTTATCTATTGTTACAATAATTAGAATTGATGAACTTAAAGCAGTTTCACTTAAAAAGTTCTAAAGTGGTAGCTGCTATTATTGTTAACATATCCGTTTTATGGGGACTATAGTTTATCTGTAGTTGAGGATTATCTTGGCTTTTGAACTTTGGAGCATAATTCTTAAAATTTTAAAGGCTTTCTGAATATATTCAGTGAAATTTTATTTGGGTGTCATGATTGTAAAGTTTCCTGGATTGATTAGTATTTAGAAATGTGTAATTCACTAGGATCTTGTGCTTTGGTAGGTAGTAGTTTAGGTTTAATAAATGAAAGTAGTGCAGCTTTGAATTATCTGATTTTGGTATTCCCCTCCAGTTGTTGATTACATAAATACTCTAATTAGTGTGATGTTTCTCTTAAATATCCCTGTAAAAACCATTGTGTTCTTTAAATTTAAATATCTTCACTTACTATTACTTTATACAGCACCATTAAATTGATACTTGATAAATAAATACCATATATAATGTCACTGATCCCCCTCCCCATTTTCACATTTCACGAAACACCTCTATTCACAGTCTTTATATAGATCTTTAACAGCAGTGTTTTTGAATTCACTAAGGTACTTTTCAGTTATCTGATTAAATTTTTATTTGTGTCTAAGTTGTTTAAGGTATAGCACATTTAAAATCTTTGTCATTACTAGAAATTTTACTGCTGCAAATATCTATTCTCCTGCCATTAGGGCCTTTTTTTCCTTTTTTGAAATTTACCTGGCATTAGGACCTTTACCGTTGTCATATACTTACTATTTTGCTTTTTAAAAAATTTTAAAAAACGTATTTACAGTAATAGCTAATACTTGAAGTTTTTTCAAACCTGTGGGAGTACTTATTTAATCTGTGCTAAATTTCGTGTTCTCCTTTTAAAAAATGCCATAATTAATTGAGATGCTTTTAAGCCCATCTGTTTTCCCTAAACATTGGGTCGTTCAGCATATTGTGGTGGGGAGAGTGCCACATGAGAGGCTGTGTAAGGACTTTTCAAAGGGAAATTTTGGAGAAATGATCTGATATTTGGGTGTATGTGTATACATTATTAGTAGCCATTAACCATGCTCAATTAGTGATTTCACTAAAGAAATTGTTTTTGATACTCTGAATTACAAGATAGAGCATTTTACTATGTACACTTGGGTCAGTTCTGGGAAAGGTATTACTTTCTTGGAAATGATTGTTTTTTAACAAGAACCCTTACCACAGTTTGGATGAAGGGAGCATTTTGTTAAAAAGCCAGAATTGAGGTACAGTAGATGTGATTTGATGTTTTGCAACTTAATTGCTTATTTGCAATCATTGTGTAAAAAGGTTTGACCATTACACTTTTCATTTATACCTGTATTTTATGTCGTTTAGACATTTTTACAGGAAGGAATGCCCACTTCTGCACGATGTGATGATTTAGAAGCCTTAAAAAAGAAGGGTTGCCCTCCAGATGACATAGAAAATCCCAGAGGCTCCAAAGATATAAAGAAAAATAAAAATGTAACCAACCGTAGCAAAGGAACAGCAGAGAAGCTCAAGCCAGAGGATATTACTCAGATCCAACCACAGCAGTTGGTTTTGCGATTAAGATCAGGTATGGAATATGGAAGCCCAACTCTGTGAATACCTGTGTGTTTACTTGAAGCATTTGACACCAGCTTTATGCAAACTCTGACCATTTTCTGTTGAAGGCTCGTTTTTACATGTGGACTGGCACTCAAAAATGTGGAATTGGTTAAATTTTAGAAAAGTTTTGCAGATACAACAATTGTAAAACATATATACTTGGAATAATATTAAATGTTGCCTTATGTTCAAAGTAAATTTTGTTAAAGATTCAGAAAATATTAATTAGCTTTAGTGAGTTTTAAAAATGAAAGTGTTCATCCTCTGGTCTAATTATGTAATATATTATAAAAGCAACAATTTAACCTGTTCTTTTCCTTTGCATTTGTTTAGTATTATTAAACTGTGAAGGTTTTTGTAATTATGTCTGTCAGTCCCACATCTAAACATGAAGGAAAAGACAAGCCCTCTTTCTCCCTTTTCTGGTTTCCAACCTTCTTGTCAGGAGAATGGTAGAGTGGCCCTGTCCCCTGACTTCCCTCCCGGCGCCCTTCCTCCCCTCCCGGCGCCCTTCCTCAACCAGGTCAGCCCTCTCCTCATCCTGCTCTAGCAAAGCTCCACCATCGCATTCAGCCTGCAGACCCAGGGGACCCTTGTCAGGGCTTTTTTTTTTTTAAACACTTCTGTACCAAGTAACACTTTGTACTTTTTGAAATGCTCTCCCCTTGATCAGTGATACTGCTCCTCGGTTTTTCCTTGTGTCTCTTACCTTTGCCTTCCAGGCCTCTTTTTGTGTCTTTTTTCTCCCTCCCTTTTTGTAGTCCACCTGAATGTCAGTTTTGCTCTCATGGCTTTAAAACCAGTTGTATGCTGCAGCAACAGAGACTTTTTTCTTGAGCTCCAAACCCATTTCTCCAACTGCCTATTAGAAATTTTTATAGAGAAAACTACAAGTTAAAATTTTAATTACATTTTCATCCAAACCTTCTTTCTCGTGTATTTCCTAAGTAAATTACATTAACATCTCTTGCATCTCTCTCTTCTCCTCCTTCATCATCTCTCTCTGGGTTTGTTTTGTAGATTAGCTAGTCTCTTTGCCTCAGTAATTTATTTTTAAAGCTTTCTGCCAGGTTTTCTAAAGTAAAAATTGGATCGTGTTATTCACTTGCAGGGAGTGGCTTCCCATTACACACAGAATGGAGTTCACAACTTCAGTGTCTAAAAAGTTGTACCCTATCACGTGTTCTGCCTTGCTCTCCCCAGACTAATTTATGATGTTCTATTTGTTTCCTTCTCTTGTAAACTGACTTTTTGTCTGTTTTGTCCACTGTGGATTGGGAATGTCTTTTTTTATCGTTGCATCCTGAAGGCCTGGTGTTTTAAGTATTTGTTGAATGAAATTGAATTCATACCCATTGAGTTACTTATGGAATTCCCAGGTTTTTGTAAAAATTATGACAGCATGTTTTATTTTATTGTGTTTACCATGTAAATCACATTTATTTGTTTCTTCTCGTTTGCCAACAGGCAAGTTTCATTTTCTAATCTCTTGTCTATTTAGGGGAGCCACAGACATTTACATTAAAATTCAAGAGAGCTGAAGACTATCCTATTGACCTCTACTACCTTATGGACCTGTCTTACTCAATGAAAGACGATTTGGAGAATGTAAAAAGTCTTGGAACAGATCTGATGAATGAAATGAGGAGGATTACGTCTGACTTCAGAATTGGTAGGAATGTTGGAAACATCGATCATTTTCATTATAAAGTCTTGGCAATTCTCAAATGTTGTTTTATGTTTTCTTCCTTTGTTACTCTCTACATACTTGTGAGATAAACAGGCCAGTTTTTTAGCCTTTTCTGAGTGGAAATTGATATTCCGGTCACACGTTTAATAATCTTTTCTGCCACCTTGTTCCTCTGTCACTGGATGCTACTGTTTAACACAGATTGTACCTCATACTGACTTGCATGCTTGTTTTCACACTAACTTGATCATTTATCTTATGACTTATTTTATTTTATTTTTATTTTTATTTTAAGAGTTTCGCTCTTGTTGCCCAGGCTGGAGTGCAATGGTGTGATCTCGGTCACTGCAATCTCCGCCTCCTGGGTTCAAGTGATTCTCCTGCCGCAGCCTCCGGAGTAGCTGGGATTATAGGCGTCTGCCACCACGCCCAGCTAATTTTTTGTAACTTAGTAGAGATGGGGTTTCACCACGTTGGCCAGGCTGGTCTCGAACTCCTGACCTCAGGTAATCCACCTGCCTTGGCCTCCCAGAGTTTTGGGATTACAGGCGAGAGCCCCCATGCCTGGCCCTTAGGACTTATTTTATAAACATGTATTGAGTACCCAGATTTTATCTAATTACTAGTTAGTATGGCTGTACCTGCCTGTACAGCCTGATCTCACCTTAGACCTGGATTTTTCATACGGTGATGATCTGTTTTCCAAACCTTATTTTTCCCATTTCATGCGTCCCCAGCTTAACCTCTTTTTTGCCTGCTTCTCTCCACTCCTGTTCCTGCAGAGGTTTAGCAACAGAAAATTAGAAAGATTTGACAATCATGAGGCCTAAGAGCTGCCTTTCAAAAACTAGCCCTATTTTAGTGGAAACTTTAAAAAAGAGCACTTGCTTAAAATGTTCTTTTATTCAGTAAGCATAATTCAAGGACCATGGCATTAGGGAACTCCTACCAAATTAGTCTTTTTTAAAATGGCCAGAATTCTAGAATAGTTATTCTTTTGTTCAGCATGCCATTATTGATAGCTGGTGTGCCAAGAAAATGAATGTGAGTTATTTTTAAAGTAGGGAGGCAAAATAAAAAGATTGACTTAGGTCTTAGTCCATTTGCGCTGCTTTAAGAAAATACTATAAACTGGGTGGCTTATGAACAACAGAAATTTATTTCTCACAGCTCTGGAGGTGAGAAGTCCAAGATCAAGGCAGATTGAGCATCTGGTGAGGGCCCTCTTCTGGGTTCATAGATGATACCTTCTTGCCATGTACTCACATAGCAGCAGGGGACAGCAGCTCTCTGGGGCTTCTTTGATGAGGTCACTGTAGGAGTCTATTCTTACGTTGCTATAAAGAAATATCTGAGACTGGGTAATTTATAAAGAAAAGAGATTTAATTGGTTTACAGTCCTGCAGGCTCTACAGGAAGCATGGCGCTAGCATCAGCAAGGCCTCTGGGAGGCCTCAGGAAGCTTCCAATCATGGCAGAAGGGAAAGTGGGGAGCAGGCTTCTCACATGGTGGGAGCAGGAACAAGAGGTGGGGGGAGGTGCCACACAATTTTAAATACCTGATTTCATGAGAACTCCCTCACTATGTCACTCACTCACTATGTCTGACCATGGCTTGGTCAGAATAGCACCAAGCCATGAGGGATTGATCTGCCCCCTTGAGCCAAATACCTCCCACCAGGCCGCACCTTCAACATTGGGGATCACATTTCAACATGAGACTTGGGTGGGGACAAATACCCAGACTGTGTCAGTCACTAATCCCATTCATGAGGGCTCTGCCTGAATGGACAGACATTCAGTCCGTAGTAACCAATATGTGGTAACATAGATGAATTTTTTTAAAGAATGCAAATCTCTGTCTTTCCATCTATCCTTCCATTCATTCATTTATGTACCATTTTTTTCTTTACAGGATTTGGTTCATTTGTGGAAAAGACTGTGATGCCTTACATTAGCACAACACCAGCTAAGCTCAGGAACCCTTGCACAAGTGAACAGAACTGCACCAGCCCATTTAGCTACAAAAATGTGCTCAGTCTTACTAATAAAGGAGAAGTATTTAATGAACTTGTTGGAAAACAGCGCATATCTGGAAATTTGGATTCTCCAGAAGGTGGTTTTGATGCCATCATGCAAGTTGCAGTTTGTGGAGTAAGCACATTCGTTTCCTATAAGGGGATATTGTTTCTATTATGTGTGTGAATTTTAAGTGTGATTTTACTATGTTAATAGAAAAATTGATGTTAATTTTCATACATTTGATTATCTTAGAGAAGTAATTTAAGTAAATCCTTAAATTGCCTGTATACAGGTGCCTTTATAAAAGCATATTTAATCTTTATGCAAACCAGGCAGTTAGTTTATTCATGCACGCTTTTAAAAGCCAGAATGCTAACCATTTGAAACAGCGGGGCAACCTCCCTGTACTGTAGGTGGTGGTCTGGATTTTAGAAAAGCCCTTGTGTCTTAACTTTCTGGTTTTGTACCAGAGATAGAATTGATGTTATTACCTGAGGCATCACCAGGAACCTTGAAATTGCTCAAAGGGAGGGTGTCTTGTATCATTTTCCTTTGGTCAGTTTTCTTCTCACTGTCTTTGAAAGACACATCTTTCACATCTTTTGAATTAGTAATTCAAAAAGAAATAACTTTTTAAGCTCTAGTTTTTAAGCTATATGAATAGATGTATTTTGAGAAGTGGTATAATATTTGTAATTTTAATTGTAAGATTTTTAGTAGCAAGCCCATCCCTATTGGATCAGTAATTGGCATTTTATGATCCATGTAGCAGCAGCATATTTTGAGATGACACTTGAATGGTGTGGCTGAGGCTGAAACTAGAAAAGATTGTGAGGTCAAGTTTGTCCTGTGTACCTACTCTTGTCTCATTTTTGTTCCATCCAGTGCCCCCATTCTCTAGATGACCTTCTTTGATTTTAGAGGCCTCTTAATGGTTATTTTTCAGTCAATTTTTGCTAAGGTGCTAATTGATGCCCAAAATAATAAGTGAAGGAATATGGATAGTAATACAAATTTTTCTATCACCACTGATGCTGGGCAATTTACTTAGTCTCTCCAGGGCTGTTTTCTTTTCTTTAAGAAGGGATGATAATAGTTTTCTACCTCATAGGGCTCTTGTGAAGTTAAAATGCATCAATCTCTAGAAGTACCAGTGAGCATTCGGCAAATACCAATTCCTATATTGTTGTTACTTTCGAGTTTTCACTAGAGTGTTTGCAATTTAAGGTTAGTCCTTGCTATTGTAGCCGAAGCAGGTAGCATTCCAGGTAGTGCCTAGCCTTACACCTCTTTTCTTGCTAGCCAGTGACATATGAACCAGTTAGCATCTCCTTGTGGAGAGAGCATTCTCTGGGCTGCCTCTAACTAGGCCTTAACCTGTGGGATTAAACAAGCCATAGCACCCTTGGTTGTGGCTATTTTTCTGTGTTGGTCATGCTGATCCACTCCTCTAGATGCAAAATGATTCATCACTCCACTTTTGAAAGATTGCCAGTATTAATTAATGTGATTACCACCTTAAAGGATTTTACAGTCTTATGAAGATCTAAACAGACGTATTAAATAAAGTAACTAAAGCAAGTAAATTCCTGTAGTCATAAGATTTTATAATTATAAATTACCATAGTGACAAAAAGATTTTACAGTTACTTTAGATTCTTATTGGAAAGGTCAAGAATAAAGTAAATGAGCAGATAAACAGTACTGATTGAGGAGTTAGAATGGGTGAAATTATCCTTAAACAAGATAATTATTTCCGTTATAAAAAAGGGAAGCCTCATATGGTGGGCTGATAAGGTGTATGGCATAGAATATAGAGCAGATGGGTGGATGGGGACAAGACAGCAGCAGTGGGGTAAAGTAAGAATAGGCTGAGACACTTTCATTTATTCAGCAAATGTTCATCGAGCGCTTACTGCTTGTCAAGCAGTGTGCTGGCTTGCTAGCTGCTGGAGATACGATGATAAGCAGAACCAAACCAAACCAAACAACAACAACAAAAAACAGTTTTTAAAAAGAACTGAGAGAGATGGATGGTCAGGCAAGATATGGTTGTACATGGGATGGAAGAGCTTCATTCACTGGGCTTTGTGCATTTCTCAGCAAGATAATTAGCATTGTATAAAGAGAAGACACAGAAAAAACAGAATTAGGTTAAAATACAATGGTGGCCTGTATGAAAATTAAAGGATTTTTGTTGAATTACCGTGAATAGTGTTTTAAAATTGAAATCCTTTTCTTTTCAAGTCACTGATTGGCTGGAGGAATGTTACACGGCTGCTGGTGTTTTCCACAGATGCCGGGTTTCACTTTGCTGGAGATGGGAAACTTGGTGGCATTGTTTTACCAAATGATGGACAGTGTCACCTGGAAAATAATATGTACACAATGAGTCATTATTATGTAAGTGCTTAGTTCCTTACATAGCAAATGTGTTTATGTTGGATTTTAATGTTTAATACTAAGAGTTTGTGGGTGACTGGCTTGGGGTTTCTCAGGGTTTGAGGTTTTGCTATTTTGGTAAGTAGGGATCCTGATTGAAAGTGCAGGAAAGCTAGTGTTGCTGTTTGTGAAGATGTGGCTTTGTATTTGCTTCCTTCTGCTCAGACAAGGGCCTCACTGGGGTGAGAAAGGGATGCCCAGATGCCACTTTCACTCTTTGCCTCAACTCCCTGCCCACAGCATTTGGTAGCACAGTCAGTACTATTTCTAAATAAATAATTTATCTAGTCTCATACTCTTTGTCTTATATGATTTTTAAAAGCAGTCACTCTGCCTTTATTGAAAAGAAATATTGGCAAAAGCATTCAGGTTCTAGAAGAAATCCAAATGGGAAATCTTGGTCTTTTTCTTAAGTTGTAGATAGTAGAATATTTGATTACTGACTATTCTTTAATTTCATTGTCCTTATATTTAATATACATAGATAATCTTACTATTTAAAACCTTTTGAATATGGAATTTTTTGTTCAAACATGAAAGAGAAGAGGATTAGCAATTCATGTATACACACTACTCACTTCAGCAGTTTATATTTGATATTATTATTTGAAAGCAGTCTTGTAATCTAGTTATATGTATGCAAGAGATGTACTCTAACTATATATAAATTACATATGTAATCTAGTTATCTAAAGCAGTCTTGTAATCGAGTTATGTATAATCTTGCATGTATGACTAGATTGAAAAATTAGAATAGATTATAAGGGTGTATTTACATACTAAAATATATTACTTGATTTCTTAGGATTATCCTTCTATTGCTCACCTTGTCCAGAAACTGAGTGAAAATAATATTCAGACAATTTTTGCAGTTACTGAAGAATTTCAGCCCGTTTACAAGGTAAATGTGTGAGATAAAAAGAACAAAATTCTAAATATTTTTGGTTGAGTTGTTAGAGGCAAATCATGTCTGAATTGAAATGTGGGAAAATGCCACCAGATAGGCAAACCGAATTTTACAAAAGTGGTTTATATTAACTTTTAATTACATATTATAAAACTGGTTTCTAGGTTTGACTCCTAAAGTTAGTTAGGATGAGACATATGGGAACTGGCATTTAAAGATAAAAGTTGCTCAGTAGATGCTAATTGGTTGAATGAATAGTAGATGTATTTTACGTGTTTTATCTTTTAATTGCAGGAACTGAAAAACTTGATCCCTAAGTCAGCAGTAGGAACATTATCTGCAAATTCTAGTAATGTAATTCAGTTGATCATTGATGCATACAATGTGAGTACATCTTAAATAAGATCAGTTTTGGACAATACCCTGTTGAGAATACTTTCTTCAAAGAAAGTGAAACTTCCTTCATACACACCTTAGCGAGCCCAAAGTACTACAGAAATCTTAAATCTTAAAGGCATATTCTGATAGAATAGATGACTTTTCTGATAGAAAAGTTGTGTTTTTTTTTTTTGGCCAATTCTTTTCCCATATATTCAGAGGATATAGGTTTCTATTCAGGAGGTACACATACACTCATATATACATATACCATAAAATACATAAAAATGTAAATATACGTGTGATTTGCCTATTTCAAAAAGATTTATAGTGGTGTTTTCTCCTCACAGATGGGAGGAAGTTGAATTGAAATTAAAGAGGAATTGGCTTCTCCTTTTTGAGCATAATTCAGTGTACTTCAGTCACACTGAGTTAGCCTTAATTAGTGATCATTTAAATAATCTGAAGGCAATTGTAATATTATGGTAACCCTTGTGTGCCTCGTGCACCGCTTTCAGCCCCCATCCCCCTAACCCTTTGGCAGCTTGAATTTTAGACATTTTTACCTCATGTCATGGGGGTACCATAATACTTTGGAAAGGCCTGACTCGGAGGGGTTTTTACAAAGGTTTTTAAGGTTTTACTGGTTCCACAGCTTTTCCATTCTCCCCTGTTAGATAATTTTCGTAACCCCTGTTTTTCAGGGGTGTGAACAAGAGATAGCTTGCCATTTTACCCTTCTCCATTTGTCCTGAATAGTCTCATACGTTAAACAAGCACTGGTTTGAATCCTTGGGGGATTTTGGGTTTTTTTGTTTGTTTGTTTGTTTTGGCTGGGCTACAATGGTTCCTTAAGCAAATTTGTTCCTAGACTGCATAGTTGATTGTTTACCCTAGTCTGTAGTTAGCTGGAGAGGTAGAACTGCAGAAATGCCATTTTGCCAATGGGGAAGACAGCATTTATTTCACTTTTTTTTTTTTTTTTTTTTTAGATGGAGTCTCGCTCCTGTCTCACCCTCCCGAGTAGTTGGGATTACAGGTGCATGCTGCCACGCCCGCTTATTTTTTTTTTTTTATTTTTTATTTTTGTATTTTGGCAGAGATGGGGTTTCACTGTGTTGGCCAGGCTGGTCTCCAACTCCTGAGCCCAGGCAGTCCACCTACCTCTGCCTCCCAAAGTGCTGGGATTATAGGCGTGAGTTACCACGCCCAGCCTGTTGCACATTCCTAAGACTTCTCCTGATCAGCAGCGGCCCTCCACACTGTGTGATCCTGAGTATTTTAACTCAGCGGTTAAAACACGAATACTCTTTTCAGTTGTGTATTTTATTTTACAGATTGGATCCTTATTAATTAAAACCTATTTCTCTGGCCTCTGTGTTTTCTAGTTGCTCAATTGGATTTGGCTTGTAAATATTTTATTGAAATATATTTTTTTCTGAATAGTTTATTTATCCATTGGTTTTATGCATTCAAGTAGATTTTGTTTGACTTTTCCTGTGTATAATTAGGCATTCTTTTAGTCCCTTTCCTCAGAAGTCATTTTGGAAAACGGCAAATTGTCAGAAGGAGTAACAATAAGTTACAAATCTTACTGCAAGAACGGGGTGAATGGAACAGGGGAAAATGGAAGAAAATGTTCCAATATTTCCATTGGAGATGAGGTATGTTGTATAATATAATGTATGAGGTATATATTTTCTGTAGAAAACATTGGTTATTTATAAGCAAAGTTAGTTTGTACTTTGAGAAACATTAAAATAAGTGAGCAACTTTTTGAAATATTTTTTAGTAGATTTAAATTGCTTAGTTGTTAATCTTTTTTTTCCCTTCAAGGTTCAATTTGAAATTAGCATAACTTCAAATAAGTGTCCAAAAAAGGATTCTGACAGCTTTAAAATTAGGCCTCTGGGCTTCACGGAGGAAGTAGAGGTTATTCTTCAGTACATCTGTGAATGTGAATGCCAAAGCGAAGGCATCCCTGAAAGTCCCAAGTGTCATGAAGGAAATGGGACGTTTGAGTGTGGCGCGTGCAGGTAAGCTGGGCATTGTCAGACAGTGACATAGCTACATTGGTTTAGAGAGTACAGGCAGGTCATATTTTGGGACATCCAGAGAATATCTCTCTATTTGGAGCAAATATTTTTTCCAACCACGGTTGCTCACCACAAGATCAGTTTGATGATCTTGTGTGTGATATTTATATAAAGTTCCTTCCTGCCTTTTTTTCTTAAAGTGGTTACTCTTTAAAATAAAAGATTTTATAGCCATGGAAGAAGTATATTCAACAAGTTGTCAAGGTAGTGTTTCTCTCATGTGAGAGCAATCTGAATTTATTAGAACAAAATAAGCTTATGTAAAATATGTTTATAGAAAAATAAAAACATCAAACCGGTGATGGTGATTTTGTTGGGGAAATGGAATTATGAAGCAATAGAAGATGTTTGTCTTGTACTACATGTACTTCTGCATTGTTGGAATTAAAAAAAAAAAATATGTGTTGTAAAATAAAAAAGAGAAAATGGTATTTTCAGCATGTAGTGTCTAATACTAAGAAAACTAACAAAATTACTTCAGATTTTATTTTCACACTGTGGTTATTTTTTGTAATTGAAAATTAAAAACTGAGTATACTTTGAATACAGCTTTCTCCGTAAAAGAATAGGAAGAGGGGAGAGTGTTGAATCCAGTGTTAGCCCCAAATGACTAGGCTTAGAAGGCTGTTGACCGTGAAAGAAATACATGGCTGTAGCTCACTATCAGTTTTTAATTGTCTGTGCTAAGTAATAATTTAAATGTTAGAATTTTTTTATCTTCCATGTTGTACATATCCTGTTTTAATCATGCAGGCCCATTTTTAGTAAATGTCATTTAACCAAAAAGATTATCTTGAAAATACTTTGCCTTTCTTTCCTTTATATTTTTACCAGATACAGAATCAGTGCAGTCAGTGTCCGTGAGCATTGTGTGTTCTAAAAATACACAGGGAACCTGAAAAGTCTGTACCTGTAGGATAAATTTGTTTTTAAATAGTATACTAGTTATATTTTTAAGTGGTATGCACGGTATGTTTTTCTTCAACTTCCATACACTTTTTTGCATGTGTAATTGTATTTTTTTAGGCTAACAGACCATTGCTTTAAATTTAGACAGTTCATCTGGAATAGTAAATGTAATAGCATATACTATTTGAAAATGTAACTAATGTACTCTTTAAGTTTATTCTGCCTTTCCACATGTGTCATTCACTATTTATTGCTAGATTACATTTTCATCTTGACCAAAATGGTTACTTTCCTGAATAAATTTTTTTCCTAGACTCTTGCACATATTCCGTATGAACTCAAGTTCATACGGAACTGAAATGTACATGTGTGCCTGTGTATATTTGTCCATGCTGGCACATGTGTGTACACTTTACTACATGTCTGTGACATGTGGCATGGACACTCCCACCTAATAGATTGGTAGCTTGAAGAGATTTTTTATAGTTTTATTTCCTTTCCCAGTTTTTCTCTTTTAAATTATTTTCCCCTCCAAGATTCTTCTTCTTCTTTTTTTTTTTTTTAATTATACTTTAAGTTCTAGGGTACATGTGCACAACTTGCAGGTTTGTTACATGTGTATACATATGCCATGTTGGTGTGCTGTACCCGTTAACTTGTCATTTACATTAGGTATATCTCCTAATGCTATCCCTCCCCCCTCTCCCCACGCCCTGGCAGACCCCGGTGTGTGATGTTCCCCAGCCCGTGTCCAAGTGTTCTCATTGTTCAATTCCCACCTATGAGTGAGAACATGCGGTGTTTGGTTTTCTGTTCTTGCGACAATAGTTTGCTGAGAATGATGGTTTCCAGCTGCATCCATGTCCCTACAGAGGACATGAACTCCTCCTTTTTTATGGCTGCATAGTATTCTATGGTGTATATGTGCCACATTTTCTTAATGCAGTCTGTCATTGATGGACATTTGGGTTGGTTCCAAGTCTTTGCTATTGTGAATAGTGCCGCAATAAACATACATGTGCATGTGTCTTTATAGCAGCATGATTTATAATCCTTTGGGTATATACCCAGTAATGGGATGGCTGAGTCAAATGGTATTTCTAGTTGTAGATCCTTGAGGAATCACCACACTGTCTTCCACAATGGTTGAACTAGTTTACAGTCCCACCAACAGTGTAAAAGTGTTCCTATTTCTCCACATCCTTTCTAGCACCTGTTGTTTCCTGACTTTTTAATGATCGCCATTCTAACTGGTGTGAGATGGTATCTCATTGTGATTTTGATTTGCGTTTCTCTGATGGTTAGTGACGATGAGCATTTTTTCATGTGTGTTGACTGCATGAATGTCTTCTTTTGAGAAGTGTCTGTTCATATCCTTTGCCCACTTTTTGATGGGGTTTTTTTTTCTTATAAATTTGTTTGAGTTCTTTGTAGGTTCTGGATATTAGCCCTTTGTCAGATGAGTATATTGCAATAATTTTCTCCCATTCTGTAGGTTGCCTGTTCACTCTGATGGCAGTTTCTTTTGCTGTGCAGAAGCTCTTTAGTTTAATTAGATCCCGTTTGTCAATTTTGGGTTTTGTTGCCATTGCTTTTGGTGTTTTAGTCATGAAGTCCTTGCCCATGCATGTGTCCTGAATGGTATTACCTAGGTTTTCTTCTAGGGTTTTTATGGTTTTAGGTCTAACATTTAAGTCTCTAATCCATCTTGAATTAATTTTGTATAAGGTGTAAAGAATGGATCCAGTTTCAGCTTTCTATATATGTCTAGCCAGTTTTCCCAACACCATTTATTAAATAGGGAATCCTTTCCCCACTTCTTGTTTTTGTCAGGTTTGTTAAAGATCAGATGGTTGTAGATGTGTGGAATTATTTCTGAGGGCTCTGTTCTGTTCCATTGGTCTATATCTCTGTTCTGGTACCAGTACCATGCTGTTTTGGTTACTGTAGCCTTGTAGTATAGTTTGAAGTCAGGTAGCGTGATGCCTCCAGCTTTGTTATTTTGGCAATGTGGGCTCTTTTTTGGTTCCATATGAACTTTAAAGTAGTTTTTTCCAATTCTGTGAAGAAAGTCATTGGTAGCTAAATGGAGATGGCAATGAATCTGTAAATTACCTTGGGCAGTATGGCCATTTTCACGATATTGATCCTACCCATGAGCATGGAATGTTCTTCCATTTGTTTATGTCCTCTTTTATTTCATTGAGCAGTTTGTAGTTCTCCTTGAAGAAGTCCTTATCCCTTGTAAGTTGGATTCCTAGGTATTTTATTCTCTTTGAAGCAATTGTGAATGGTAGTTCATTCATGATTTGGCTCTCTGTTTGTATGTTATTTGTGTATAAGAATGTTTGTGATTTTTGCACACTGATTTTGTATCCTGAGACTTTGCTGAAGTTGCTTATCAGCCTAAGGAGATTTTGGGCTGAGACAGTGGCGTTTTCTTTTTCTTTTTTTTTTTTTTTATTATTATTATTTTTAATTTATTTATTATTATTATACTTTAAGTTGTAGGGTAAATGTGCATAACGTGCAGGTTTGTTACATATGTATACTTGTGCCATGTTGCTGTGCTGCACCCATCAACTCGTCATTTACATCAGGTATAACTCCCAATGCAATCCCTCCCCCCTCCCCCCTCCCCATGATAGGCCCCGGTGTGTGATGTTCCCCTTCCTGAGTCCAAGTGATCTCATTGTTCAGTTCCCACCTATGAGTGAGAACATGTGGTGTTTGCTTTTCTGTTCTTGTGATAGTTTGCTAAGAATGATGGTTTCCAGCTGCATCCATGTCCCTACAAAGGACACAAACTCATCCTTTTTGATGGCTGCATAGTATTCCATGGTGTATATGTGCCACATTTTCTTAATCCAATCTGTCACTGATGGACATTTGGGTTGATTCCAAGTCTTTGCTATTGTGAATATTGCCGCAATAAACGTACGTGTGCATGTGTCTTTATAGCAGCATAATTTATAATCCTTTGGGTATATACCCAGTAATGGGATGGCTGGGTCATATGGTACATCTAGTTCTAGATCCTTGAGGAATCGCCATACTGTTTTCCATAATGGTTGAACTAGTTTACAATCCCACCGACAGTGTAAAAGTGTTCCTATTTCTCCACATCCTCTCCAGCACCTGTTGTTTCCTGACTTTTTAATGATCGCCATTCTAACTGGTGTGAGATGGGATCTCATTGTGGTTTTGATTTGCATTTCTCTGATGGCCAGTGATGATGAGCATTTTTTCATGTGTCTGTTGGCTGTATGAATGTCTTCTTTTGAGAAATGTCTCTTCATATCCTTTGCCCACTTTTTGATGGGGTTGTTTGTTTTTTTCTTGTAAATTTGTTTGAGTTCTTTGTAGGTTCTGGATATTAGCCCTTTGTCAGATGAGTAGATTGCAAAAATGTTCTCCCATTCTGTAGGTTGCCTGTTCACTCTGATGGTAGTTTCTTTTTCTGTGCAGAAGCTCTTTAGTTTAATGAGATCCCATTTGTCAATTTTGGCTTTTGCTGCCGTTGCTTTTGGTGTTTTAGACATGAAGTCTTTGCCCATGCCTATGTCCTGAATGGTACTACCTAGGTTTTCCTCTAGGATTTTTATGGTATTAGGTCTAACATTTAAGTCTCTAATCCATCTTGAATTAATTTTCGTATAAGGAGTAAGGAAAGGATCCAGTTTCAGCTTTCTACTTATGGCTAGCCAATTTTCCCAGCACCATTTATTAAATAGGGAATCCTTTCCCCATTTCTTGTTTTTCTCAGGTTTGTCAAAGATCAGATGGCTGTAGATGTGTGGTATTATTTCTGAGGACTCGGTTCTGTTCCATTGGTCTATATCTCTGTTTTGGTACCAGTACCATGCTGTTTTGGTTACTGTAGCCTTGTAGTATAGTTTGAAGTCAGGTAGCGTGATGCCTCCAGCTTTGTTCTTTTGACTTAGGATTGTCTTGGAGATGCGGGCTCTTTTTTGGTTCCATATGAACTTTAAAGCAGTTTTTTCCAATTCTGTGAAGAAAGTCATTGGTAG